ATACGCACAGAAAAGGAAAATAGCGTGTTTCATATATTTCACACTATATAACAGAGAAAAAAACGCTAAAAAGAAAAAAAATTTCTAAAGAAAAGAAATGATTTTTGTCGCAGTTCTAATAAAAAAAAGGAAGAATAAAAGATGTTACATGAATTGTGTCAATGGGGGTAAGATGCCGCTAATGCAAAAGCTCCAAAAGTTTTTTTCGAATTTCACATTTAGGCGATCTTGAAGATTTTGATAAAGAAGGCAGAGGTGGCAAACACACATCTAGCCTGTATGATACTTGCCCGAACTTCAAGATGCTGCCAAGCTCGTCACTTTAGAACGTTGTTCGCGTGCAAGCGTAGACTTTACCGTTCACGATGTAGCAAGTTATATTGATGAAAAATATTATGAGTTAACAGACACGGTTAAGACCGATTGAAGTGCTCGAATTTGATCTGTTGCTTCGTGCCGACTTGATTTGAAGCGCTGGGGTGCAAAATATGACAGAAATTCACAACGAGCATATTTTGAAGGTCACGAACGTGTCGACGTTGTTGAACACGGATCAAATTACACAGATTATTTTCTTGGTCGCAAAGGGCATTACTATACACTTACCGATGGTGATAATCCAACATGGATAAATCCCACGCTAAGTTCCCCCTGTGTTCTTTTTTGTAAGTTACTTTACGCGGTAAAATTCCCCTGCTTATAACCTTTTCTGTTGATATTTCTAGTTCACGATGAGAGTACGTTTCGAGGCAATGACGTTTCGAAAAAACGATGGTTTTTTGGTGATAACTCGCCGTTTTTGAAAAAAGGTCGCGGAAGATCGAACATGGTCAGTGATTTTTTCGGCTGACATCCTTCAGGTCCATTTTTGAGTGTCACTGAACAAGAATATGAACATGCTGCAGCGGAATTCCCAGAACTGGAAGATACAACAGAATTAATTATGTAGAACGCACCGCCACTGGATCTATTCATGTCGGCCAGCAAGGCTACTTTGACAATCAAACAGTGCCACGACAATTTGAACGATTTTTCATGCTTTCAAAACATATAAAGGCGTACGAAGGGAACACTACTGAAATTGTTGTTGATAACGCCCGTACTCATACAGCAAAGGCGCACGGTTTGAATGATTTTGGCAAAGGTAGAAGTCTGAACCACTATGGTTCAACAATAGGGAAAAAAAATTTTACTTTTTATCCATTTGTATGAATTGGAACAAGAATCCAACTTGACGAAATTGAGTATAATGATGAAGATCGAGAACTT